TTTTCAGTCTTGTTTTAATAATAATATAAATACTTACTGGCCGACTGGGAGAAGTAAAGTTGACTCTTTCAGTTCGAACCAGAATTCTCTCCTCTTTCTCTCTCTCTCTCTCTCTCTTTCTTCATCACCTTTTCTTCTTCTACATAACTGAACTCAGTCAGGCCGAACTCTAAGGCAGACCTGAATTATAACACAATGCTTAATTTTTTGGCTTCTTGGTTTCTATTAGTGTTGTATACTTAGGGTTCTACATTAATAATACAAAATATTGTTATGACTTGTTTGTGTTCCCTCTAGACATGAAAAATATTTGGGAGTTTTGTTGATCTTGTCCTATTTTGATGCGCATGCACCATCCTATGGCATGTTGACAGAGAATACTCCAAACTGTAATACTTGTATGAATTGTTGATTAGTTGGAATGGTAGAATCATTCATTAATTGCTGAAACGAACAATATTGTCTAAATTTGACCATGTTGACGTACATAAGACAACCAACAAATGTGAGTAATCCACTGTTATAAATGTAGAATCGGTCAACTACATTGTTTTCAACTTTTTTAAGCATTTTGCAGAAATATATTTTGATGCCTACATTTTCTGAAAGCTTTATGACCCTTCTTTTTTGAGGGCAGAATTTGTTATGCAAAATGCTGCAACAAACAACACTAGTATTGCTTCTTGTGCAAAATACCAATATTTCAAAATGTTCAAAGCAGGACATTCAAGTTCTAGAATTTATAAATCCTAATCTGGAGAGTTATCAACCTGGATGCGTATCCTTCCCAGGGATAAGATCAATAAACAGTTCAATACCTCTCAATGCTTATTGTAGAATTCAAGTTCTTGAATTTATAAATCCTAATCTGGAGAGTCATCAGCCTGGATGCGTATCTTTCCCAGGGATAAGACCAATAAACAGTTCAATGCCTCTCAATGCTTATTGTAGAAGATTTCAAAACTCTCTCTTCCCACACGGCCATAACATAGCTTCCTGCAACACTTCCACATGATCTTCCTCTCTTAGTAGAGGGTGGAAGCATATCGTGTGGATATAAGAGCAAGTAGTAAAAAGGTTGTTGATAGACTTGCCTCTGGCCTTGTGGAACAATGCACATATTGGTTAAAAATACTTCTTGGTTTCGTGAAAACCTTAATTTTTGGAGAGGGGCTCATCTGCATTGCTTTAACCCAAGTATCGAGAACTTTGGAGGGGGAACATGATAAAAACCACTGTGATCAAAAGATCAAAGTCTCCTATTCACATTTTACAAAGAACAAGTTTTTTTTAAATAACTTGGTACATCATGTCTAACCATCCTTTTAGGATGAAAAAAGAAAGGGAATAGAAAAGGAATGTTCAGCCAACAGTAGGATGGCTAGCTAAGGGAAAAGTAGGAAATTAGATGAGCAAGGCAAAGCTTTTAACTGATCCTTTAGATCATTATTTTTCAAGGCAAAAGTTTTAGGGAAAATTCCCGATCAGTACCCTGTACTTTGGCTCGAGTGACAATTTGGTCCCCGAACTTTAAAATGCGACAATCCAGTACCTGAACTTTCAAAATGTGACAATCCAGTACCTACCGTTAATCAGTCCATTAATCAGCCGTTAAGTGACATTTGAAAAGTCAAAAATGCCATTCGAATGCCATCTAATTCTCTTTATCAACCATCCGAACGTTGACAAAAAACTGAACAGTCCCAAATCCTAGCCTCTTCTATTCAAAAAGTTGGTGACTGTTTAGAAGAATCTAGAATTTGGGTCTGTTCATTATATTGTCAATGTTTGGGTGGTTGATAAAGAGAATTAGATGGCATTCTTAGGGCATTTTTGACTTTTCAAATGTCACGTAACGGTTGATTAACGGACTGGTTAACGGCAGGTACTGGATTTTCACATTTTGAAAGTTAGGGTACTGGATTGTCACATTTTGAAAGTTTGGGTACTGAATTGTCGCATTTTAATGTTCGGGGACCAAATTGTCACTCAAGCCAAAGTACAGGGTACTGATCAGGAATTTTCTCAAAGTTTTATTAATGAAAAAAGAAGAGTACAAGAAGTTGATGAGAAACTTCCTTAAATGATATTTTCATACATAAGAGAGAAAAAACAAGGTAATTCACACATCATCCATAACAATATCCAACAGATACCACAAATTTGATCTAGAAGAATATAGATCAATGCCTTCAAGCTTCTGGAGGCATTCTTTCCAAGAGATCATTGCTTTCTTCCTCAAGTTGTACAAACAGGATGACTACACAAAATCTTGTATGGCATTGTAGGACCTGCTGTATGTTGTATCCTGATTGACAACCCTTGATCTGGCTAGACCACTGGTCATGGCATTCTTCTCCCTTATAATCTATTTCAATTTTCAAAGCACCTTTCTCATATTAAGAATGAAACATAGCCTCCTGGGTTCTCTCCTGAATCCGTTGCCCTAGATGGCTGCACTTGCAAAATTTCCTTCTATCAGAATCAATGATTACCTTCTTGCAAAGGCACTCCTAAACCCAGAATGATCATCTCTGCCTTGGCCAGATGTGTCTCTTTGGTTGGACCACTAAAAGGAACAAGAGGTCTTTCCATCTCTAAGATGCCCCGTGTTGCTCAAACTACCACCAAGCCTTAGTTGAATGTCTTTGGCAAATTCATCATTTTGGTCAGCTTTGATGGTATGCAGTTGGAAAAGACTGGGATGGTAGGGCAATTCTGCCTATTAGGGCAGAAGTGAAGCTACTGCTTTAGCTCCTGCATGGTGGCTAAATATGATGCAGATTCAGTTAATGCATGCAGTTTATTTTATTTTAGGCATATTAGCATTGTAGTCTTCATTTCTTTGGTCTTGAAATGGTAAAGAGCATTGTGTTAGTTTTGTAAATATGACTTATTTATTTTGGTTGATTTAGGGTCCCTTAGCTTCCTGGAAAATCCAGTTAATATTACCAAATGTTTTCTCTATTTGTTATCTATGAAGCCTTTGAGATATACACAGTGTTCTGAATTTACATGGAATGGTTCCATATGTTTTTTGTGGTATATGAGTTGAGCTATTGAATATCACCATATGGAAAAAGATGAGCTGTTCAATTTTGGTCTAACAATGCATTTTCCTGTCAGCTTCCTGAAGAACGGAAACTTGACTTATTGAAAAACCTTGCTGAAAGTTCACCTTATACAACACCACAGGATTCTCGCCAGCTTCTTCCATCTACTGTTCAACTATTAAAGGTAAAAATTTTGGAGGTTTTGCATTAGGAGTTTATGTGCAAAAGAGTTTGATTTTGGTAATTGAGATTTGCCAAAAATTTTCCTCTATTTCACATCTTTTGTCCTTTGATGTTGTTTCAAAATTTTTTCTTGATTTTGATAATCAAGGATGTTCAACATCTTTCATATTGTTTCAATTCTGAAGTTAGAGAGGGAGAGAGGCCACCTGTGTGACCCATTTGTCCCAACTCCTAACTAGGAACTCAACCACTTCTTCTCCCCCCTCTTTTTGTCTTCCATTCATTTCTCCTTTATTTTCCATTCTTTTAGCCATATGCAATATATGCCCCACAAAATTACCTTACATTTTCCCCCTATTTTGGCAGAAATACATGCCCATGAGAAAGGCTGGAGAAGAAATGAATTTTACTTATGTTGAGTGTCTGTTGTACACTTTCCACCATTTAGCTAGTAAGGTTAGTTATCATTTGTGGTATTTGCTTCCTATTGGAATGCTTTCATGTTTGTTATTTCTACTTGATGCTTATTTTGTTGTTATGGTTATACAGACTCCTAATGCAACGAATAGTCTTTGTGGTTATAAGATAGTCACTGGCCAACCATCAGATAGGCTTGGAGAAGATTTTTCTGAGAACTTTAAAGATTTCACTGAGAGGTAATTTGTACCATGTGTTTCTTCTCTATCTTCATTTATTTCAAAAATGGAAGTTATTCATATTTCTCAGTTGTGTGTGTGTGTAGCTATATATATAATAAATGACTGACATCTTTTACTTGTGTTGAAGAATCATAGGTAATTTACCTGTTTGAACTTTCTTTAAAAGCTAAGTTTCCTCCTTGATTTTTTATGATCTCATTATAACATATTCTCATAATAGGTTGTTATCTAGGAATCTTCCAAGTCAGTGATAGGAAATAGTAAGAGCACTAGAGTCAAGGCAGGGGCGGTAGGGGGAAGAAATAGGAGAGGTAAGATTTACGTCTCCTGTATTTGGTTGGATTAGGAGTTAGTAGGGCTGCAACTTGGGCAGGCCTAACCCAAGCCCAATCCAATCCAACTGGAGCCTGCCTGACACGGTTGCACACACCTTTTTGAAGCAAAGTGCAAAATTACAAAAATATGTTAAAAAATAAAAAAATGCCAAAAAATTTTAAAAAATGCAAAACATATTAAACATAATGTTAATAAAAAATTTAAACTTAAATTTTAAAGTAAATGTTTTAAAAAACCTATTATCTAAAATTAAAATACATAAACACAACATGTAAAGCGCACTCAAATGAAAATTTAAAAATAAAAGCAAACATGTAACTAATGCGATGTGAGTTGCCTTTGTACCACACCCCTCGAGGCAAGCCCGAACAAGTCCATGTTAGGGTCTTAAATTCTTATTTCTCACATAAAAATAATGATTTTATAATTTTAATTGTCTTTTAAGAAGATATTTTATTGGAATGAATGAATGAACAACATTAGCAAATAGGGGGTTCTCGGAAAAAAAGCAGAAAGCGCAAAATTTTAGAAAGGCGCATGCCTGGGCTGAGGTGCAAGGTGCATCAGGCGCATGCCTAGGCACACCAGGCGTGTGCCTTTTGAAAGGGGTGCGCTTAGGACCTGGGCGAGGCGCATACCCTAAAATGCACCTCACCTGTGCGCCTAGGTGTGCCTTTTAAATCACTGCCCTGACATTGTGTGACATAGATGTGTATATTGTGTATTTATGACATATGTGTCTGTAATTGATCAAAAAAAGACATGTGTCTGTATATTACATATTTATACTTTCATATACACCATAAACTATAATTATTTACAATATGTATATGATTAGCTTAAACTCATACCCATGCACAAACATGTACAAATTCACACATTATACATTTTATTTATAAAATTATATTTTTCTTGCTTCATACATTTTATCTTTCTATTGGGAAAACCTTCCAAAATGCCCACGATTTTTAAAGATGATGCTCTTGTTTTGCAAAGTTTTGGAAATTGATTCAGATGTAAAACTTCTGTTAGTGGTCGTTGTTCATCTTTGAGGCTAGTTGTAGCTGGGGTCTGTAATTCTGTTGAGGGTGTTTTTGCCTGGTTTCAGTTTAGGTGGAGCTTTTGGTTTTGAGTCAGACTGCAAGTGTTAATTTGAAAAGAACTAGAATCTGCATATTGATTACAGAAACTCAATTCAAAATCAGTGCTTTGCCGCTTTCTTGCTTCATACGTTTTATCTTTCTATTGGGGATATCTTCCAAAACGCAAATGATTTTCGATGACGGTTCTATTTTTTTTTTTCAAAATTGTAGAAATTCATTCAGATGTCAAAGTGCTGTCACTGGTGGCAGTTAATGGTTCAGTTGTTAGGCTTTCTGGTTTATATTTTGGTGTTATTTTCCCTTCTGGTTCAAGTGAGTCAACCAGTGACTTTATACAATATAGAGCTGCAAATGGTATTGGTTCATCCAAATTTGAACCTAAGTTTGTTCGAAGTTGAAGATTTATGTCTGGGTGGGGGTGTCTTTCTGCCTTATCTTGAGTTGTAATGTGGATTGTCTCTGATGTTTTTGGGTTTGGTGTTATCTTAAACATCTGTTATGCTGTTTGTAATCTGTTTCTTTTTTTAATGAATTTTCTTTTATCACCAAAAAACAATATTTTAACATTTATGTTTATGCTTTATCTGCATAAAACTAATATGTAGCTATTGGTACGATTATTGAATCTTGTAAAAATTATTTTCAAGCCAATTTATTGACAATATAAAAATCGCAGCTCAATGCATGAGTCTCCCATCATGCGGGGTCTGGGAGGGACAGATGCACAGACTGAACCCTGTAGATACATAGAGGGGCTGTTTCCAAGATTTGGACCTTGGTCACCCAGGTTGCAATGGAGCAACCTAACTGTTGCACCAAGGTCCACCCTCTTATGATATACAATATAAAATTCATTTTTAGTTTATTTTATTAATAACATCTAATATTCTGATCATTTTTGGTAATTTATAAATAGCATTCAGTATCCAAATGCAGTATGAGTCTGATCTAAATCCGATGAATATGTCTCTATTCAAATTTAAATATTAATGAATCAAATCTGGTTCTAATTTATCAAAAAAAAAAATCAAATCTGGTTCTAGGTATCTGTCTGATTCAATTCAATCCATTTGAAGCCCTTACAATGATAGTATTTGATAATTGGATAATAGATAAGAGTGGGGACATTAAGAAATAGGACGTTTATGGTTCTTATCCTTTACTCTTAGCTTAGATGTTGCCATAAAGTTTTAACAGTAGTAGTACCATTGCATAAGCAATGGTAGCATATAGCACTTGTGCATGTAAAATATTATACACATCTGTCAATGCAAGTAAACTGAGCTTTGGTTGGACTTATGAAGGGCAGTGGATTTGTTCTCTCTGGGACTATTAACTTGGCCTAAGATGTACCCCCTACACCACCCACCTCCAGGCGCATGTTACATCCCTGTTTAGGTTATTCTGTATTTATCCACTAAAATGACATGTGATATATAGCAGCCATTTGCATATACTAAGCAATGATTTTAAGTGGAAATAAAAGTTACCATCGTTTACACAAAATTACTAGTAAAGGCTTGCATAAGGATAATATGGGCTTTAACATTGGAAGACATTTTGTAACAGTTGCTGTGGAGTTCAATTGGTAAAATTGATGGGTTTTGTGGTTGGAATGTGGTTTCTCCAGAAGGATGAAATTGACATCCTTGTGGTTGATGGTGGTGCAGGTTGAGTAATGTGGAGGACCTAGCGAGAGCCACCATGAAGAAATTAACCCAGGGTATGGCTGAGCACAACAAGGCAATGGCAGCTGCTAAGACTGATGAAGCAAAGGCTAACATTGTAAGTTTTTCTTTTGGTGAGGTTTTAGACAAATTGTGTAGTCTATAGTGGTAGTTTTTGATTATTTATTGTTTAGATAGGAAGTGGGGACCATAACACTCTTGTTGGGTCGTTTTTGATCAGTTATTTTAATTGTTTTATGTGTTAGTCACCCTATAAGGGCATATTGGTCTTTGTACTCTTTATTATTTTGGACTATAAATAATAGTGAAGAGGGCAGCCGGCATTATTGCTCTATTTTCTCTCTCAAATCTCTTCTCTTTCTTTTCTCCTTTCTCTTCTTCAAGAAATATTCTTTTCTTTTACAGATCTTTATTTCAGCACCTTTCTACTTGGTATCAGAGCTTGGCTAGGGTTTCTTGAAGTTTTTTCCATGCAGTCCTAGATTAGCCGATTGCATGAGGAGATAAAGGGCTGATCGATCTACTTTAGATTGCCCGGTTCTTGGATTTTTTGGTGAGAACTAGTCATCAGGAGGGTGATCTATGTTTTGGCCTCAAAATTAGGAAGAATTGGAGTGTAGGGAAGAGTCCTAGTCAAGTTGGACTCATCAATTTTAATCTGATCTTGGGTATTGTTGGACTTCTCTAGCTATTCTATAGGGGGTGGTTAGGTTTCTAGAATTTTCTGGGCCTTCTGGAGTGGCCGATTCACTTTTCTTTCCGGTGGGAGATAGTGGGAGGAGAGAGATTTCTCTTCGGATAGTGTTTTCTTCTTTTCAAAAAGGTCTGTTACCTTTGTGTGTGAGATCGATTTGATCTTGGAGGCTCTCTACCTAAATATTTTCTGCTTTTGAACTGTTTGAAGTAAAATGGAGAGTTGGAGTACCGAGCAGAAGTCCACTGGTAACATGGGTCTAGGTGTTGGAGGTAGTAGTGATTTTTGGGTCTGTAATTATTACTACAGTGAAGTTTGATGGTACAAATTATCTAGAATGGGTACAATCAGCCAAGATGGCCATTGGTGCTCATGGGAAACTGGGGTACATCACTGGGGAGAAGAAACCTGATACAGATCATTTCCGGTGAGTATAGGAGAATTTCATGGTAATGCTAACTCCATGTTACCTCACATTGGTAAAAATTTTTTGTGGGCTAATATTGCAAAGGAGATTTGGGATGGACTGACTGAAACCTTTTCCCAGAAGTATGCTTGCCTTATCTCTCCTCTAAACTACAATTGGCTGATGTCTTCACCAAAGGGGTTGCAAAGAACAAGTTTGAATACAATTTACGCAAGTTGGGAATGTATGACGTTTACTCCCAACTTGAGGGGGAGTGTTGAGGTTTTAGACAAATTGTGTAGTCTATAGGGGTAGTTTTTGGTTATTTTATTGTTTAGATAGAAAGTGGGGACCCCAACACTCTTGTTGGGTCCTTTTTGAGTAGTTATTTTAATTGTTTTATGGGTTAGCCGTCCTATAAGGGCTTATTGGTCTTTGTACTCTTTATTATTTGACTATAAATAATAGTGAAGAGGGCCGCTAGCATTATTGCTCTCTTTTCTCTTTCAAATCTCTTCTCTTTACTCCTTTCTTCTCTTCTTCAAGAAATATTCTTTTCTTTTACAGATCTTTATTTCAGCACCTTTCTACTGCTTTTATTGCATTTCTCTTATTTAAAAAATTAAAATAAATTTCCTTAGAGTGAGCATGGTCTCATGTTGGACCATCTGGCTAGCATATTTACTCATCCCCTTTTATTTTTTGCAGAAAGTAAAAAAGCAGAATACTACAACAGGGTTGCGAACCTGCAACAATATTCTTGCTATGACCCAGGTGAATGAAAAGAAAGAAAAGTCCTTATTTTGCTTATATGCATAATTGTGTATGTATTCTCGAACAATTTTGTTCATGTTATTTGTTATTCAGCCTTTGCATTCCAAATCACCTTCGTTTATTGGGGACAAGAAGATAAATCTCTCATGGAAAGAAGCAGCAAAGCCTTCAGTACCATCAACCACTGTTCCAGCAGGGTATGCAAATTAGCTACGTTCTCTTCTTATGTTCTGTATTTTGCTGCTAATTGTGCATGCACTTTGCTTTGCAGGGGTAAACGAACTGCTACAGCTACTAATGGTTCAGGTGCTCCTGCAACCAAAAAGGGACGTGGTGAAGGTGTGCAGAACCAACTAGTTAATAGGGCATTGGAGGGTTTATCTCGTGGTGGCAGAAGTGGTGGGAGAGGTAGAGGTTGGGGTGGACGTGGAAGAGGAAGGGGGTATCGTTAAGTTTGCTTTCTTGTAAGTTGTTATCATGAGTAAAGGTCGTTGTGGAACTGGTCGTTGCATTTTTATCCTGCATCTTGTAAATCATATCTTCAGAAAGGGCTAAGGAGGTTGAATTTGAAAAAAAGCTGGCGAGAGAGATTCATTTCAGATTAAGAGATCTATTGTCAAGTTCTGAAGATTTTCATGCTGAGTGACGTGGGATTAGGCTTTGCATTTCCAATCCCATCTTAATTTAGCTGGTATCAGCTGCAGCCTGTAAAAGGAAGGAAAAAAAATAACAATGTAGCCTGTAAAAGGGTTTGAGATTAGTTGAGAACTCTTGAAATTCCAGTGCAATCCATCTTACTAAAGCTGCACTTTCCACTAAAGAAAAAAAAAGTGTTTCTTACCACTTGGTTTGATTCATGTTTATTATGACTGACAAAGTTCATTCGAGAGCTATGGAAATTGACTCCATCTATACCTGTTTGTGCCAACGCTTAGATTAAGATGAGTGATAATGGATTGATATGTATTTCTTCACTGATCACTCTCTGCAGGTTGAAGCTTACGGTTGGATCAAGGCCCTGTTTGATGATTAAGTACTTGTTAAAAGTACTTGTTTTAACGATCCTTTAGACTGTTTGGTAATTTACTTTTTCAAATCACTTATTATGTTTTTAAGTACTTATTGAGGTGGGAATGTTTGGTAAGTTATTTTTCCCACAAGTGCTTATATTTATGCAAATGACAATTTTAGCCCTCACTTCACTCATGCATATATATAATATTTTTCACATTATATTATACATTTCAACTGAGAGTCCACGTGGATTGCCATGTGGATTCAATAATAATAATAATAATAATTAGATAAACAAACAAAAACAGACATGGAACAAATATAAACCAACTATAGCTATACAGCGAACTTACGAACCAAAATGGCATTCAAAGAGGAACAAACGAAAAAATGAAAGGTAAAATAGATATGCACAAAAAATCTACTAATCAAAACAGAAACCCTAAAACCCCGTTTGAAACCAAGTGAAGTGAACAAGATAAACTTCGAGATGTTAAATAAAACCAAGTTCTCGTCTTCTTCCTTGTCATCTTCGTCAACATCGCTCCTCTCTTCGTCATCGATTGCTTTAACATCCCCAACTTCCCTCTCGTTTTCCTCCTCTTTGACCTACTCTGAAAAAATAAACAGAGAGAAATGAGACAAACATGGGAAAAACAAATGAAATGAATCACCAGATTTAAAGAAAGCAACAGACGAAAACACTCCGAAGATCTCTACATTCGTCATCGGACACCATAGCTCTACCACCCATGTTTTACAAGAAAAAATCAGTCGAAAACCTAACCTTGGTAATGGAGAGTGCTGAGAATTGAGAAGAAAATCTGTGCGAAAACTAGAACAGAGAAAAAATTATATACTAGGGGGTAGAGAGAAAGGGAGAAAGATGGGTGGTTGGAGACAAAGTGGAGGGGCGAGATAGAGGGGGAGCTGATAAACGGAAGATCGAGGGGAAGATGATGAACAATGCTTTTTGGGTGTGGGGGTATTTTAGGCATTATAAAAACTTATTAGGGACTCGTTTGTCCTATTTTTTTTGGAGAAGTATTTAAAAAAAGGCCAACTTGAAATCACTTTTTCAACGAAGTACTTCACTTTTTTACCAAACACCGATAAATACTTAAAAACCACTTACTGTGTGGTCTCATGTCTTAAAAGTACTTCTTTTAAGTGTTCTCAAACAGTGCCTAAGTGGGTCTGGGTAAATTACATCTATGGGTCTATGCGTGTTGGTGGTGAATGGTTTGATGGGTTTAACGAATCGGTTGTAGCTCAACCCACATGGCCACATCCAACCAACCGATACTCACTTAGATTGCAAGCCCTGGCCCATGAGGCTACGACCAATGTATTCCCGTAACTTGAAAGGCACGGTGACCTTAGATTTCAATTTCCGTTCTTGAAATTTAGATTTCAGTGGTGGTTAAAGAGTTTGTTCTAATTGATTTACTTGAACAACTGGTTTATTATATGTTTTGATGGATAAAGTAGGTTGAATCCTCAGTGGGTCCTTTGGAATTAAATTGGTAAGTAGTTTACGTGTGATCACTGTCAATGATCAGAGTGTAGAAATGTATTTCCTGGGCTAGGGTTAGATGGAGCCAATCTTTTGTTAGTGAAGAAATAGAAGGGATCAAGAAGGCCATGTACTAGCATCCAAATGACTAACATCCCTTTTTACCCAGGAGTCTGTGCAACGGAATTTGATTATGTGAGTTGACTTAGAGGCGGTTCTTTGCACTTTCCAGCAATGATTTCTTTTTGGTAGAAACTCCAGTAATGAGTTTGTTCTTTCAATGTTTCAGATGAGTTGGAAAAATTCCACAAGTGTACTAGAAAATGGGGGAATTTTCTAAGAAACTGAATAGTTGTGTGTATCAGAACCGGATAGAATTGATACAATAGAATTAGTATAAGTTGACACGTGTATTATTGAAGGAATCTCAAATGGGTACTAAATAAAATGTGATAATTGGAGCAAAGTGAACTATGATGAGGCATTTATAAATGATATTATACTTTAGTCCTAAGCACGTGTTAGGAACTTTGGCTTTGTCACAGGTACGATGCTGGGGTGATGTTACTGCCTGACGTGCCATCCAGGCCATCCCCGTATGCTTTCCATGTGAAATTGAATTATAGTAGTGTCAATGAGATTTATTCTCTCTCTAAAGTCATCCCATATGCTTCATATCAAGGCCATTAGTTATTTATATTTTTAGACTTCTAAGCACCCACTTTGCATGGTCTTTTAAGTATATTCGAAAACAATGGGCTTCACGCTTTGTATGGAATTCTTGTTTTATAAAAAGAAAAGAAAGAGTAAAAGAATTCGAGAATATGAATTCTGGTGTGAAGCAACTGTAACTTTATCTGGTTAAAGCTTTGTTTTCCAATTGATTTTCTTGACACCCATTCTCCAGCTATCAGTTGAGGGTAGCCATCTGGGTCAAGAACCAGCAAGCTCAAAACTAGGATTGTCGGGGGTTGAGGGCAGTGTTTACTGTGAAATCATGGTTTTACTTCCACAGTTGGACAGATAAAGCAATCAACCAAGAAGGATAGCTCATGTGATGTGCCCAAAAAGAAGTTGACAGACAGCAGTAAAAGTGAAGGAGAGAGGATTCACTGATTTAAGAAGGTCCAGACCTCTTTCTGAAAAGCAGAGAATATAATGAGGATTTACCATTACTAAAGCCTAGAGGATAAGGTATATGAAACCCTTTTGTAAACTAGTATTTGATGGGGAAGAAAAGCATGCCATTTCTCAAATGATGACCAAACAAAAATGAAGTTTTCTTTGGGAAATGGACCGACCCAAGTTGGACCTTTGGAATTGGATAAAACTCATGTTTCATGTGGACGAAAAGCATTGATGTTTCCCAAATGATGAGCAAACAAAGCATGGACAGGCTCTTGGGAAATGGGCCGACCCAAGTTGTGGGTAAGCTTTAATCTGTCACAGATCAAATATACTCTGCACATGCACCATCCATGACCATTCCCTCACTAACAAGCCCAATTTGAGATTCTTTTCTTGTTTGGCTTTTCAAAGCTACTATAATCCTGTTAAATTCCTTCCAATTAAATTACTCTAAAAATATATTAATCATATTTAATACAACTTAACCATATGATTTATAGTCTAGTGGTAATAAAATACTATGGGAAAAGGTAAGCCTTGAACCCTTGCACGTGGCAGATTAGGTTTGCAGATCAAGGTTTGTACTCTGTATCTCCATTAGAGTATTCCAAGTCCTGCTGCCTTCAGGCATCCTGTTTCCATACTTGTTATGTACACTGTGGACCCAATTTCGGATGGGTTCCTCTTCAGAGGTTGTATAGATACGAATCTTTTTTTTTTTTAAACTTAGAACCACTCTTGTCATGCATAATTCTACAATCTGATCTTCTGGTTATTGGCTATACTTTGAAGCTTTGATAGTTTTGTATTTTTTTTTTCTGACATTTCAAATGAGTGCAAGGAAAATCAAACAGTTGTAATCACATGATCATACTTATTTTTGGCATTAGAGATCTCTTAGGTGGGGCAATTTCAATCTCGCCTTTGCCAGGGTAGGGGTTTTTTGACTTTTGAGGTTCCCGCCATTCTATCCCTGTTGTTAGGTCTTCCGATGGACATATCAATTCGATATTGAATTCATTATTCTAGATTTGAATGTTAGAACATGCATCTGATTAATAATTAAAATCTAAATATATGTATACATATACATACAATTATATTAATTTTATAATTAACAAATTTAACATTTTATATTTATATACATTTATTATATATGTTTAAGTTAAAAGTAATTAGTTTTTTTTTTTTAATTTTTTATCATTTTAAGTATAATAAAAATGATGCGGATTAAATCCAAATCCATTCTGAGTTGGACAAATTGGATTTGGATCCAAAGGTTTGATAATTGGATTGGGTGTGGACGTAGATGTTGGGTAAGCCATTTTCCTAGCCAATAAGAAAAACCAAGAAAGAACATAAAAGGAAAAGACTTCATATTCACATCAGAATTATAATTGACCTACTTTCAAGATTAAAAAGAAAAGGAGAAAAAGAAGGAAAAAAAAAGGAAAGACCAATATTCAAAAACAAGCAACCCTGAAAGAAAGAAATTCCAGAATTTTTCTTTATTCTTAAGCCTGAGGTAATCTATCGAGTCATTATGTTCTCTGAAACTTGCAATGCAAGACCACTCCAGACTGTCCTTTTGATAGGAGACCTAATTAATAGAATGGCTTGGATATTCACAGACAATTCCATATCTCATCAAGTATTAATTGTGTCTTTGTTCAAATTAAGAAGTTCTCGGATTACTGCACAGGAATGGGAAATCAAGGTTAGCCACTCTCTCACATAGGGAAGGAAATTGCAGTTCTCTCAAGGTCATATAAGTGCTTCTGAGCCTATTTTTGTATTTGGTGAAAAATAATCAAAGTAACGCCAATCTGGGTTCTTGATGCTTCTGAAAGAAGGATTCAGAATCAATTGAGACCTAGACCAGTTCAAACTCGATGCAAAAGGCTTTACTCTTGAACTAAGATTCTCAATGTAGGCTTGGTTTCTAGTACAATTTAGGTTGAACATCAAGTGCTAATCAGGACAAGAGCTATTTGGTGTCATATTCTGAATGCGTAGACTCAGCTTCAAGTACTACTTAGTCTGGACTCTAAGATTCTAAATTCAAGTTGCAAAGAAGAGGAACTGTCGTTTATGGGATTCCTTAGATTGGATTTGGGCACTTGTTTCCTTGCTAACTTAGGCCACCTCAACAGATAACGTGGCAATAACAAATCCAGATTGTGTATTAGGTAAGGTATTCACATCAATATTGAAAGAATGAAGGATGAAAAAAAAAACCCATTTTTTGAACCGTTGTTGAGCCGGGTGGTTAACTGGTCAACTGAGCAGCTAACTGCCTAACTGGGTCCCAGGTTTTTGATGATTTTGACTGGATCATCGACTTAACTGCCCGGTTGAACCTCCAAATCTGCCACTCGGCGAGGTTTCTCGGTCAAGGGATAGTCCAGATTTTTAAGCACCGCAAGAAATAAGGCCCCCTTAACTTGGCCACCTGGCAAAAGGAATTGGGCTAAATCTATGGTCCATCAATAGATGGTGGAAGGAAATATGTGGGAGTTCTGTTTGCCTTTGGCACAGTGCCCATGAGTAAGCCTATGACTTAATATATACAATTTTGGTAGAAAAATAACAATTTAATATTTAGTGGACAAATTTGTATAAACAACTTTTTTTTTTGAGTAATTAATTTGTATAAACAACTTAAGGCATGTTTGGAACTGATGCCGTTTTCCCAGAAAACGGTGCCAGATTGGCACCACTGGGAGATCCGGTGTTGGGGAAAATGACGTTTGATTGGTTGGGCATTTTTCTGAAAAATGTTTTTTTAGATTGTTTTTTGGAAATTGGTAAAATGATGCCTATTTAATTGGGTATTTTTTCGAAAAATATTTTTTTCAAGGTTTTTAAAACCGACCCAGACAACGAACCAATCTGGGGTCCGGTTCCTGGGTTGAACGGTTGGCCCGTTTTGATAAAAAAATAAAAAATGATTAAAATCGTTGAACGATTCAAACGGTTCAACTGCCTGGGTTAGCGGTTTACTGACTAAATCAACGTTTTTTTGAAAAAAATCCGGCTTTGAGACCAATTTCCAGTTTTTTAGGTCTGATCATCCGATCCAATTTTGAAAACCATGATTTTTTCAGACTATGCCTTGAAAATCGGGAGGAACGGTGTTATATGAGAAAATGTCCTTTGATGTTTTTTAATTTTTATACCATTACTAGCCATGATTTATTAATGTGGCATTGAAAAACGCCTAAGTGGTAGAAACATTTCCAAACAAAAAAATTGCTTTTTTTTTTCTTCAAAAAATATCATATCGATGTAGAGAAAATGGTGATAGAAAAATAACTTTGATTCCAAATATTACCTTATTATCCTTCAAAATACTTTTTTTCAAAAAGCAAGTTATTAATCCTACATGACTTTTGACCCTGCCAAAATTGATCACCCAAACTATTATTTTACCGATGTACCCTCATAAAAGGGTAAAACTACTGCAATAATTGGGATAATTGATTGAATTAGTGGGACAAAAGTAGTTCAGAAAGCAAAATAGCATATTAATTACTGTTGGCCCACTCAACTTGTCAGGTGGTGCACACTAAGAGGTTTGGGTTGGGAGCCATCAACGGATGATTATTTTACTTAAAAAGTTGCTTTGCTAAAAACATCATGATCAGGTGGCTTTTAACCTTCTGATTTATGTATTTCCCTTAGAACTTTGCAAAACTATGGCATTTTCTTGGTCTTTTCACATTTCAAAAGTTCAAATTACGGTAGATGCACACCATTTCAAACAATGTATGGTGGAGTGGTGGACCCCATTCAATGTGGGTCTTTGTTTTCTGCAGGTAGAACACGTGGCAAGTCATAGGATGGTGTAGAATATTAAAGTTAGAGACCAAACCTGGGAACTGTTCTGTGAGTCTCTCACATTTGTTTGACACAGTTCGATCGATGAAGGGAGGACCCTATTGCCTATAAAAAATGAACTAGCATTTCTCGAGTCTCTCGACCACTCAACGAGGTCTGGTTCTGGCGCACCACTCACCAACTAGGAAAGAGGCGGCTAATAATGGGGAGCTGCATGGGATCCATACAAATTACAAAGCTTCCTCAATTGGATCCATTCAAGTGGCGAACTCCATCTACTATTTTATTTCTCTGCCCAAAAGAGAAGAAAAAAAAAAACTATATCTCATTTGTTCCTCTTCCCTGCTCACATGCAATAATGCTTGCTTCTTCTCACTCCACCGCCCTGCCCCTCCTCAGAGAGAGAGAGAGAGAGAAGGGTTAATGGGTCTAGTACATAGATGGGCTAGACCCTTTGGGCATGAATATTTTAGGATAGCTCTAGTCCTGTGTCAGGGCAAAATGTAAGTTGTTCTATGACGATCCATTATCATGAAGCAGATGCTCTATTGTCTGATTAACCAACAAAAGACAATGCACTGAGTGAATGGTCAGGATCACCCAACCCAATGTAATCTCTTATTTTTCTTAATTAGGTCTGTGTCACTGTTACTGTGTGGGTGTGTGGGGTGGTGCAGGAGAGGAGGGAGGTGG